GAGTGCACAGGTCGCATGTAGGTGGGGCATTTTCGTGTCAGGTAACTAGTCCAAATTAGGCGATGGTCACATGATGCGCTACCTGACACGACTTTTTCCCACTTGACACTACCTTTCTCTTTCAATACAATACAACTCTTTCTATCTCCCCTCTACCCCTCCTATTGCCTGCTTTCCGCGACATGGCTGGATACGATAATGTGAGAATAAATCTCTTACTGGTTTCTGACTAGTCGAGAACTGACTACCTACCCTACTGATTAGCCCGAATACCGTGCCTACCAGACTGATGTGAAGGATGGTAAGGTCACCTTGCCACTGTGGGATGAGGTACGTTAGAGACTAGTGTGTGACTAGTATATGACTAGCTGCTAACCAGTCTCCTACTAATTAGACTGAGACCATCACCATCCTCCCTGGCGAGTTGTACTGCCGTGTGGCCTTTTGTGGTCACACTAATGTATGATCCTAACCAGTTCCATACTGCTTGACGACTAGTCACTGACTAGTCAGACTCCCTCCTCATCCACCAATAACTTGCGTAAGCATGTCCAACGTGCTCATCCTCACCTGACTCTCGTGCCTGGAAAAAATGGAAAAGTGCCCAACAACGACATTATGGCTGCCAACCGTACTAGCCCCATGCTGGTTATCTACTAGCTGCAGTCTGGTTGCTAACTAGCTATAGGGTTCTATTCCTCGCTCTACTCCAAAACTGATGATGACCAGGATTCCAGGTAAGTATCTAACTCCTAGTTAGTATATGACTGGTTGCTAACCGGTTGGTAACTAGTACTGAACCATCTGATGCGTCAACCCCGGAGCCTAGCTCTCCCCCACCGCCTGCCCGCAAGGCCCCTACCCGCAAGGCCCCTACCCGCAAGGCCCCTACCCGCAAGCCCCCCGCCCATTTGCCCTCCCCTGAGGGGCTCCAGCCTATGCCGATGAAAGATGGCAAGGTATATAACTAGTTACAAACTGATTCCTCACTGGTTGCTAACTAGCTTTAGATTGATGCTGCAGCTGTCCGCAAGGTTGGCATCAGAAAGAGTGGTAAGCGTGCACCTTGCTCCAAGTGCCGCAATAATGGGACCAGTAAGTACTACCCATTTATGATTAGTACTTATCCAGTCACTAACTAGTTATTAGCTTGTGGAAGTACTAATGTGTGTGACTTTTGGGAATACTTTGAGTCACCAGAGGAGAGTGAGGATGCTGAAGAGGATGCTGATGTCTAGACTAGTAGCAAACTATTCAGAATAATTTAAGCTTAAATTTTAACTGGTCAATAAGACTATAACTACTATATCTGTAGTTTTTGGTATCTAATGATGAAATGAATTGGTATTTAAGCATACTACTGACATAATGTTGATATTATTCTTCAATGTAGTATACATATATATATA